GTGTGTGTGTGTGTGTGTGTGTGTGTGTGTGTGTGTGTGTGTGTGTGTGTGTGTAGCTTATGTTATATTTGTAATATAACACTAGGTTCTTTGCAAAAGTGCAATAAATGTATGATTGTTGTCAGTGGCGTCACTGGGCCTATTTTAGGGGGGCTGGAGCCCCCTGGCGATGAAAGATCATGATAGTTTCTATTTACATCCCATAATAGACTCACCTGTGTGTCCCTACAGGAGCCAGTTGTTTGGCAACCATGAAGTTCAGGCGGCGCTGCAGTGTGAACGACTCTGCTCTCTGCTGCCCCCTGTCGGCTCGGAGGTCTTCAGGCGTTTCACGCCGGCTTCGCTGGAGAAATACCATCTGAAAGGTGAAGCTGAGGGGGAGGAGCAACACGAGGGGGAGGAGCAGCATGAATCGGAGGGGGCGGGGCAACCTGAGGGGGATGAGCATTACAAAGCTAACGGGGAGGAGCAACCAAAGGACAAACAGGTACATGAAGCGCCTCCCCGGTCGTATTTGAAGGACCTAACCAAACCGGCCAATCACCTGGAGGCAGGAAAGACCCTCCCCTTCATCTACGGTGACCCGCCCCCTTTGCTTCTTGGTAGCCCATTGGAGGATCTGGATCCTTTCTACCAATCACAGAAGGTCTGTTTCCTTTTGTTCAGTCCCAGCAACAACTCTTTACTTTTCTTTATAACTGATGTGATTTTTTTAAACTATGAATTAGTTTTGTGAAGGTTTGTTTTTAGAAACTGTGTTTTTTTCCTTGTCAAATTGAATCATGCAGATTATAAACATAAACATCAGATGAACATGTTGTAAAAACAGATGGAGATGAAACAGTGAGGTCACGTTTAGAAACAGAAACATTTAATCTGGGCACAAACATCCATGTTTCAGGACCTCAGAATTACTGGATGTATTTTCTCTCGCCTGTTTCCCTGCAGACCTTCATCGCTCTCTGTAACAACCGGATCATCCACAGGTTTAACGCTGAGTCAGCATGTTACCTGTTCAGTCCGTTTAATCCTCTGAGGACCAGCGCCACCAGGATCCTCCTCCACCCATATCCTTCATCATGTTTCTATGGGGACCTAGGCTGGTTCTGCTCGTCTTCCTCCTGTTTTTTTCTGGTTTTCTCTGCTGTTGTTTTGATTTTATCTCAAAGTTTTTCTGAACAGAAACACTGTTCTCACCTGGATCCTCATTTTGACAATCCTGACCAACTGTGTGTTCCTGGTGCTTAGAGTTTCAGTGATGCAAAGCTTAAATTCTGCATATGTGGAGTGAGTACACACACAGACACAAACAAAAGTGTCCACCTATACATATGGGAACATTTTATTGACTTCCATTTAATTTCTACAGCCTAACTGTGACCCTCTACTATGGAACTAAATTGGGGTCATAAGTTTTGTTCAAAATAAACTGTTTTTGAAACAGAAAAATAATTTTGAAATTAAAAAAAGAAAGCTGAAAAACAATATATTAGAATCTGGAAAAATTTCAAAATTCTTCTCTGTTCAGTTTCAAATTAGTTTTTCAGTTTCAAACTTTTAATTTTTCAGTTTCAAACTTGTGACCCCGATTTGGCCTGGGGGTGCGGGGCCTCGGATGACAGGCGGTGGGGAATCGTGATTGACAGCTCAACACGGGCTGGACACGCTGTTGCATTCAGGAACCACCAGCTACGAGTGGAATGTTGTCAGTCCAATAAATGGGTGTTGGGGACAGTGTGTGCACGGCTTCCGGCGGCTCCCAAGAACCGCTGGAGAGAACGAGCCATTCGCTGCTTTTTGAGGTCTAAGCCCAAGAAGCAACAGGGGCATTTTGGCCAAAGTCGGCTGCAGATCAAGCCCTATAGGCGGGGACAAGTTGAGAGCTGGCAGCGCAGAGCTCCAGTGATTCCCGGATGTTTACACTCTTTCCTCCTGGACAACAGAAGAGGAGACAGGAGGGAGGAATAGACTAATCACTGTCGCAGGGCTCCTTTGTCTTTAAAATATGAAAATAAATAAAATAAATCCACCTCGGAGTTTGACGAACCTTCAGGAAGCTACGGCTGACAGATATTTGAACCAAATCGCACAGCTGGTTTAATAGTTGTATTTTGGTTGTCTAAGATTAAATATATTCCCCTCTCCCATCGTCAAACAGAGATAAAAACCCACAATAGTTTCAGGAAATGTTAATCGCACCAGAGAACAGCTGAATAAAGTTTGAAACATGTCTAAGCAGACCCAGAAAACTCTGCTGTCTATCTTTTAACATCAATATCTGGAGCGACCCCCAGCTACAGCTTCAGGGGATTCTGATGTTATCAGTCCATGAAATGGACGTTATTAGGCGTTATCAGTCCCATACAATGGCTTCAGAGGGTCCCTACTGTGCCTTCTAGGCTTCAGACTGTCTCGACAGTGCCCCCTAGTGGGTTAATACATGAATGACAATGAATGTGTAAATGACCAAAAGATATTGTAATAAATTATTCGTGCCCGTGTCAGTCTTGAACCCTGGTCTGACTCTCTACCCATTGCCCTATGGTAAGGTCACAATACATGACCATTGGAGGGTGGGGTCTTTGGTGCTAATCATGTCATTTGCTCTAAAGTTAATCTTAGTGGTTTTAAGCCTCATATTAACCAATTTTTTATGCCTCGTACTAACCAGCTGACAATCAGAAGCCATTCTATGGGACGGGGAACCTGCTAACCGGCACAGGCTGGACATTCTGAAGCCATTGTGTGGGACTGATAACGCCTTATAACATCCATTTCATGGATGATAACATCCGAAGCGGGTGACAGCTTGGATCTCCATGCCGCAGATTCAGTGCCTCCCCGGTCAAAGTGGTAAATGGTAAATGGACTGTACTTATTTAGCGCCTTTCTATCCATCAGGGACACTCAAAGCGCTTTACACTAACAGACATTCACCCATGCACACACACATTCACACACTGATGATGGCAAACTACATTGTAGCCACAGCTGCCCTGGGGCACACTGACAGAGGCGAGGCTGCCATACACAGGCGCCACTGGACCCTCTGACCACCATCAGTAGGCAAGGCGGGTAAGGTGTCTTKYCCAAGGACACAACGACTGAGTCGACTGGACGGGAATTGAACCAGCGACCTTCCGGTTCCTGGTCGACTCCCTTAACCACTCCACCACAGCCGCCCCAAAAAGTGAGTCGGGCAGACCGCCTGGGCTCCACGTCCAGGGGGAGAAGCCAAACCCACCAAGCCTGAAAACATATTATCTGAATGCATATTATCAGGCATACAAATGATTGATAAGTACCTTCCAACCTACTAGGAGGTAAAGGAAGGACAGTCTGCAGACAATTTGGAACTGATAACCTCTAATAACAGACACAACATTCCATAGCTGGTGGTTCCTGAATGCAACACATTGTCCAGCCCGCGTTGAGCTGTCAATCATGATTGTGCACCGCCTGTCATCCAAGGACCCGCCCCCCAAGGCCAAATCATAACTCAATAACTCATAACCCAAGGTCATAACTCTGAAACTGAAAATAAAAAGTTTGAAACGGAAAAAATAATTTGAAACTGAAAAGACAAGATGTTTGAAACTTTTCCAGATTCTAATATGTTTTTCAGTTTCAAAGATTTTATTTTTTCCCAGTTTCAAAATTATTCTTCAGTTTCAAAAACCTTTTATTTTGAAACTTATGACCCCAATTTAGCTCCATAAAAATAATCTCTCCTGACCCTAAAACTAACCTAAACTCAGTTCACACCTTGGTCCTAAACCCAACCCCCAACCCACCATTTAACCAAATGGGGACTCAACTTTTGTCCCCAAATGTCACCAGAAACACCCCCCCCTGCCGACACACACACACACACACACACACACACACACACACACACACACACACACACACTCATGACAAAGTAAAGTGGATTTCTTTCATTAGGTTCTCTTTGTGTTTCTGGTTAAATATTAAACTCTCTGACATGCAGCTCCTGCAGCGTCCTCTACAGGCCAAAACACATTCAGTGTGTGTGTTCTTTAACATTGTGTGTGTGTATGTGTGTGTGGCTCTGGGTAACATCTCCTGTGTGGACAGGTACATATTCATGACCATGTACACCTGTGAGGTGCTGCTGAAGCTTGTGTCCCGAGGCGTCTGCTGGGGACCCTTCACCTTCATCAGAGACCCCTGGAACTGGCTGGATGTCCTCAACATCATCGGGTAAAGACCAAAAACACACACACACACACTCAGTCACTCAAAATAAGCACATTATACACACATTCCTCACAATGTTGATGAAGGAACTGATGATGATGATGATGAGTCTGAAAACGCTGTTTCTGTGTGTTAGGTTTGTGCTCCAGATGTTTGTTCCAAAACTTTGTGTTTTGCCAGCAATCGCTCGTGTGATGAAGCTCTTCGCCTATAGACCAGGTGTGTGACCTGACCTCACCTGACCTCACCTGACATGACCTGACCTGACCTGACCTGACCTGACCTAAACCCCCACCCAACTCTATTTAGGTTAGATTTACTCCCTGCAGGTGTGTATTGTTGTTTACACCCTGATTGCTGTGTGTGTTGTTGTTTATACTCTGATTGCTGTGTGTGTTGTTGTTTACACCCTGATTGCTGTGTGTGTTGTTGTTTATACTCTGATTGCTGTGTGTGTTGTTGTTTATACTCTGATTGTTCAGTGTGTGTTGTTGTTTACACTCTGATTGCTGTGTGTGTTGTTGTTTACACTCTGATTGCTCAGTGTGTGTTGTTGTTTATACTCTGATAGCTGNGATTGCTGTGTGTGTGTTGTTGTTTACAGTCTGATTGCTGTGTGTGTGTTGTCCCGCCCCCTCAGGCCTGAAGAAGACAGCCGAAGCTCTCGTCCAATCAGTGAAGAGGCTGGTTAACGTCACCATCTTGACTGTGGTCCTCCTCAGTGTTCTGGCTCTGGTTGGTCTTCAGCTCTTCATGGGGGTCCTCAGGAACAAGTGTGTCACCTGGCCACAGGATGCTGGACCATTTCACAACACCACCCCCCCACCTGGTTCAGTGGTCCCAGACAGCAACTCGACCAATCACAGCAAGGACCCCTTCGACTTCCACGACTACATCAACAACAACGGTACGGTGAAGAGCCAGGGTTAAACTGTGTTTTAAATGTTTTGAACCAGTTTCAGAATAATGTTGGTGTTCTCCCTGACAGAAAACCATTATTACCTGCCTGGTAGTCTTGATGCTCTGGTGTGTGGGAACACGTCGGACACTGTGTACGTAAACAAGTCAGCGTTTGTTTTCTAACACAACAACAACAACAACAATAACAACAGGTGATGTGTTCAGGATGTGTCCGGTGGGTGTCTGTATGAAGGCCGGCAGAAACCCAAACTACGGATTCACCAACTTCGACTCGTTGGGCTGGTCTCTGCTGGCTCTGCTCAGGATCCTGATGCAGGACCTCTGGGACAACCTGCTGCTGCTGGTCAGAGCCCACCTGCTCGCTGTGCACACACCTGTCTGACATGTCCGTCTCACCACTCTTTACCTGTCTGTCCTCAGACGATGCGAGGAGCAGGGAAATTCTCTATCAGCGTCTTTGTCCTCGTCTTCTTCCCCGGATGTTTCTTGGCGCTCAGCCTCGTCGTGGCGGTGGTTGCCCTGGCGCTGGCAGAGCAGAAAGAGGCGGAGTTTGCTGAAGCCAAACTAGTAGAAGAAGAGTACAATCAGATTGTGAAAGTGCTGAAGAAGAGGGAGGAGGTGGAGGAACAGGTGAGTTCACCTGGAAGGAAGCTAAACGTGTGAGCTAGCTGAGTTCAAAAATGTCTTCTTAAGTCATTTATTCAAAACTTCATTAAAAATTAAGACAAAATTAAATTCTGAATCGTTATTTTTGCAGAAGACAAATAGCAGCAATCACAAACCATGACTCAGCTCACCTGGCAGAGTGTGTGGGATAAATGTTGTGCCAACAGGAATTTAATTGGAATTGCTCAGTTTGAATCTGAATGTGCATAATTTGAAATTAAATTCATTGGTTTGAAAATAAATTTTATTAAATTTAAACTCAATTTAAAGTTTTGTATCTGAATTAATTTGTTTGAAACTGTATTTTGGTTTATTAAAAATTCAGTTTGACTACTTTCACTTTCAGTTCCATAATTCAGATGTTTGTGTCACATCCTGGTCCTTGAGAAAGCCAGGCAGAGTAATCAAACACAGATCCACAGATTTATGTTTCACTTTGGTGAAGTTTCCCTTCTGGATGTAACAGAGTTGATGCAATCCACTGTAAAAGTGACAAAAACACACAAAGTTATTTTACTGCAGTGATTAATTTGACCTATATGTAGAAAATGTTACATTTACATCACATCATGGATCACATATTGATCAGATGCTGCTGCTGACTGATCCATGATGTGATGTAAATATAACATTTTCTACATATAGGTCAAATTAATCACTGCAATAAAATAACTTTGTCTGTTTTTGTCACTTTTACAGTGGATTGCATCAATTCTGTTACATCCAGAAGGGAAACTTCACCAAAGTGAAACATAAATCTGTGGATCTGTGTTTGATTACTCTGCCTGGCTTTCTCAAGGACCAGGATGTGACACAAAAATCTGAATTATGAAAGTGAAAGTAGTCAAACTGAATTTTTAATAAACTAAAATACAGTTTCAAAGCAAATTAATTCAAATTCAAAACTTTAAATTTATTTTCAATTTAGTTAAATTTAATTTCAAATTATGTACATTCAGATTTGATTCCCTCTTGGCACAACATTTATCCCATAGAGTGTCTCAGCTCACCTGGGCAGACATGCAGGGATCATTAAGAGGACTTTTATTTTTCTAAATTATTATTATTTTTTTTTATCTGTGTTTTCATTGAGTGGCAGGCCTCTGAGAGGGCGGAGCTTCAGGGTGAACACGAGTCACCACAGAAGAAGAAGAATGCAGCTGCACGGAGCGAGGAGGCGGAGCACGTCACCGTAGACGGTACTTGTTCATGTGAGGAACATGTCAGACCTGTCAGGTGTCTCACTGAGCTCTTTCTGTTTCAGACCCTGAGGATGACCTTCGACCTTCGTGCTCTGCCGTCACTCACAGCATCCTGAAAGGGGACTGCTGTGGCTGCTGGCGGACACTCAAAGAGAAGCTCCGCCCCTTTGTCATGAGCTGGTTCTTTAATCTCGGGATTATCCTCTGCATCATCCTCAACTTCATCTTCTTGGCCCTGGAACATTATCCAGTGACAGAAAATTTCCACGATCTGCTGCTGAATTCTAATCTGGTCGGTGATGAAGATGAGTTTGAGCTCAGTCACATGATGATGATGTCATCAGCTCACCTGTTCTGGTCACATGACTGTGGTCCAGTCTAACCTGACCTGAACCCTCTTTTACAGATCTTTCTGGCCATTTTCACGTTGGAGCTCCTTCTGAAACTCATGGCTCTGGGCGCGTACGCCTACTTCCAGGTGAAACGTGTTCTTTGTAACGACTCGCCATGATGTCACCCATCAATCATAATGATGTCATTTCCTGAACATGCTGACGGTTCTGTTGGGTCCAGGTCCGATGGAACATCTTTGACTTTGTGGTGGTCGTCTTCGGTCTGTTGGATGTTGTGCTGGCTAATGTGGAGGGGCTGTCCTTGATATCTACCCTGCGATTGGTCCGTGAGACGATGACATCATCAACATAGATTTCATTATAATGTCAACAGTCATGATGTCATGACTTGTCTGTCTGTCTATTGTCTGTCCATACTCACCTGTCTCAACATACATCCTTCTACCTGTTGACAGCCATCATCTCCTCGTCTCACCTGTCCTTACCTGTCTTCACCTGTGTTCCTGTCTATTCTTACCTGTCTCAATATATCTTTCTACCCGCTGACAGCCATCATCTCCTGGTCTCACATGTCCTCACTTATGTCCCTGTCTGTCCATCTGTCCTCACCTGTCCTTACCTGTGTCCTTGTCTGTTCTCACCTGTCTTTACCTGTGTCCCTGTCTGTTCTCACCTGTCTTTACCTGTGTCCCTGTCTGTCCATCTGTCCTAACCTGTCCTTACCTGTGTCCCTGTCTGTCCTCACCTGTCCTTACCTGTGTCCCTGTCTGTTCTCACCTGTCTTTACCTGTGTCCCTGTCTGTTCTCACCTGTCTTTACCTGTGTCCCTGTCTGTCCTCACCTGTCCTCACCTGTTCTTACATGTGTCCCTGTCTGTCCTCACCTGTCCTTACCTCTGTCCCTGTCTGTCCATCTGTCCTCACCTGACCTTACCGGTGTCCCTGTCTGTCCTCACCTATCCTTACCTTTGTCCCTGTATGTTCTCACCTGTCCTCACCTGTGTCCCTGTCTGTCCATCTGTCCTCACCTGTCCTCACCTGTTCTTACATGTGTCCCTGTCTGTCCTCACCT